TAAGGATGAAATATAATAAAACGACATAAAAACAAAAAAATATTAAGAAATCTTAAAACATATGACTTGTAATTTTATCAGCTATCTTTTTTGACCCAAAAAATATATTCTCTATAGGGATATGGATGACCGATAGGGCAATGATGATCCACTTTTTAATCTTTAGTAAGAAAAAGGCGTTTACTCTCCGTTCGACACAAGTGTTGTCCACACACTGAGGACCGCCGTTCTCCTCGTGGCGCTGCGCGTAAAACAAAAAAGATTCGGTAGGCGTACACAGAAAAAAAGATCTGCTACATATCGACAACTAACATGATTTGCTATTAGCTACTTTTTCTTTGCTGCAGGAGCCAATTTTCTTTCTATGATAACAAGAAAATCTGCAACAAAAAAGTAGCTAAAGCAGTAAATTATGTTTAGTTGTCCATCTGTAGCAAATTCGCTACGTTAGCGACTTTTCTTGTTGTAGGAGCAGACTTTCCTGTTATCATAGCAAGAAAATAAGTTTCTGCTGCAAAGAAAAAGTAGCTAACACAGCGAATTATATTTAACTGTCCATATATAGTAAATTAGTTCGCTGCTGCAGCAGATTATTTTTTTCCGTGTATGACTACACAACCACCACCTGATGATAGCGTCACTTTCCAATCTTTTCGCGTTCTGCTAGATCTCATCCTTAGCGAAATTTTCTGTATAGTCTTAGGAGGATTTTTCTAAAATCGAAAGAGAAAAATTCGAAGCACAATATTATTCCTCTTCGTTAGAAGAGAAATGCTCTTCTGGGATCAAAGGTTTCGTTTTATATAGTCATAGGTTTCGTTTCATAAATATGAAACTACAGGAAACAGCATTGAAATTAGCATTCATCTTTCTTTTTGACGGACGTCGCGTCGAGGTGCGCGGCAACTGCTGCCTGTTGTGCGTGTTATTCTCGCAGGTGTCGTTTGACGCACGAAATTTGCGTTTACATAGGGCGTTTCATTCGACACATTGCGACCCAGCCCGCGAATACATATGAACCGAAGCGATCGAGCTAAAGCGTCAATAATATATACCAACGTACGACGGTAATCGATTGCGTCGTTCCGAACGACCGAGCTCCCGAAGGTGTAAGAGGAGGAGGAGACACCGTTTGTGTTTATATGTACCGAAATTAGGAGGATCGTAGTTACTAACTCTGAGTCATCCTGTACACGTGTGCCAACAAAGCTAGATGCTAGCTAGCTAGCTAGCTAGCATGCCCGCTCACGTAGCACGCCCGGGCTTTGATAGAAATACAAACGTGCAACGCGCTTTAACGGATACATAGCGGAGCGAGAATATTAAGAACCTATAAGCACATGCGTATAGATGCGTTTGGAGAGCACGCGAACGTAGAAATAGATGTACTGCGCGATGTCTGCTTTGCGAGCGCTTAGGCTTTTGATGCGCTGTAGCAGCGAGTAGTGAATGCGCGCGAATCTACGAAAATTTGCTCATGTCTGTACACGAAGCTGCAGAAGCTGCAGAAAGGAGAGACAGACTCGTGAAATGTATAGGATACGCGCGTCAAACATGAGTGACAAAGCGCAACTATTTCGAGCCGCTTATATACACGTTTAAATCGGGAGTTACGCGGCTTCTTACCGCATCGAATAGGTTTCCTGTTTGGAATATATCATCTATATCTGAAAAATAATATAAATATTTTGTAAAAATTACAGAAGTAATTGGAAAGTGATACAAGTAATTTTAACATTGATTCAGAGCCTGGATCAAAAGTCATGTTGCATTTTAAAGTGCAAGTCCTAGCAAACATGATGTCAAATGACGTATTTGTGATGATTGACGTTAGGAACATTTTTATCTGTTCTGTGTTATGGAAAAATATAATGTTGCTGTCTTTAGCAAAAAAAAAAGAGAATTAAAAAGTAATGACAAAAATTTAAATTTTTATATGTACATATTTGAAATATATACAAAAGAATGTATAAAAAGTTTTGCTGTGATTCAGAGATAAAAGTTTAAAAGTCAGAAATAATATGAAATAAAATAGACTCTAAAAAGATGATGGTAAAGTAAAACTGTGTGTTATTAAACTATATCGTATATAAAAATTATACATTTTAAAAACAGAAATAACATATTTCCAATAATTTTATGCAGGACTTTATGCAAGCTTTATGCGTTATACGGACAATATATCCTTAATCTCTGTCTACATAGATTCAGTTCGAATTGTTTTCTCTTTCTCATGATATTACTTTTCAATTCTAACAGTAACACAAGCGTCTCCCAAACATTAATTCAAATTTCATTCTAATTTATCTTAAAAAAAAATTTCCTTAAAATTATAAAAACCATGTCAAAAGTAAAATAAAAAAGAGAATGATTACATTTTACGATACGCGATCTAATAAATTTTTTAATCAATTTTTTTATAATATATGTCTAGTATATAAAATGCACTATATTGCGCTAATTATTCATCAATTTTCCTTAATTAATCCTACATTTGGCAGGTTTAAAAAATTTAAGAAAAAGGTCGAATTCGAGTATTTAAATAAAATAAATGTACTGTAAATATAGTTATATTGTTTTTTTAAATATCATTTTGAAAATATTTTTAACGACTTCTGTCATTCAGTAGTATAAAGCGAAACTATTGAGACACTGACCTATAGAACAGGGAACCAGATGTTGCAGTGCTAAATAAATGCGTTCCGCATCTTCCATGAAAATTTATGAGAAATCGATGTTGCTTGAGAGTTATATTACCAAATAAGGAATTATATAAAGCCATATAAAATATATATTAAGTTATATATAAATGGTTGTGTGTGTGTAAGAGCCAGAGAAATTATTTTGTAGCGAGAGTAAACGTACGACACTGTATATTTCAACGATTAAGTAATATCAAACCGTTTTACTGGATCGTTTTCAATCAGAGTGAGGCAAAGCGAGATAAAATTTTATCATTTTATGATTACCGTACGTAAGTAATGGTCTCAACATCGTGAGGAAGAACGTTAGATGTACGAGGTATTAGACTGCTTATAAGCTACATGAACGAGGTTGTAAATGCCATTTATTACAGAGAAGTGTTGCACGATTCGACTTCCTTATGATACTCCCTCGCGCGATCTATTTCTCTGGGAAACTCGTAGGTATAAATTGTTCGTATGACGCAATCGAAAGATCAGCAACGCGTGCTTAAGTAAACGTGTTAAACAAATATTGAATCTAGGAACGAGACGAAAGGAGAGAAAGAGAGCGAATTTAATACGTGCAAGTAACGCTGCGTCCCTCATTTTGCGTCGCTTTAAAGTGAAAGCAGTTAAACCGCATTGCGCTCAAGTTTCTCTTCCCAATGCCAGGATGAGAAGCATTAAGCAGAGATGCGAGATGCAAACGAAAGAGTTAGACCCGTCATTTATTTCACTTTTAGAGAAACAATCCCGAGTTAAATGTGGAGCAGAAGTTGGTGCAACATTCTTGATTATTCCATCTAAGCCGCCGTGGATAGCGGAATTTTCAGTGCTTTACTGTTGCTAATATTTCATCGGTTAGTTGCAAACCAATGAGAACTTTTCATCGCCGCCATTTTCTGGCGAACTAACTTTCTGGCAGTGAAAGATGGGTCGGTTCGTAGGAACTACGATGATCACGAGGCGCTTGGGAAATCGAGAAAACAATTCTCCGCTTTTTTTGGGCCGAAATAAATCGCGGGATAGGATTGTCTGCGCGACTATTCTTTGCTCGCGTCATAGTTGCCCGTTTGTCCTGTATGATAACTCGATAACACGTCGATTACTTGACGAAGTTCATCCGATCGAAAGAAGTTTAAACAAAATGGAGATTTAATCAGGTTTCTTGTGTTTCGAGTATTTCTTGTTTATCGACAGGAGGATAGTGAAGTTTCCGTATAGAACGCATCGAGTTTCGATGCAGTGCATCGTCGTGTGACATTTCTTATTCGCGCGGCACGCACTCGCACAAATTAGTTCTCGGCGTTCTTCCGATCAGCTCTTTAGATATCTTCGTCTTTAGGTATTTTCGCTATTCACAATATACGTGTATGTATTGTTACCAGAAAATATCAATTAAATCTATATTGATTTTACTCGAATCAATCATCACTCAGTCGAATTAAAATATATTTGTCCAAATCAATGATTAAATTAACAAAGATTTTTAATTGGTATTTGTGAAAATATCAATATTAATAACAATAAACAGTTATTAAATCAGGAAAAAATGTAATTGATATTTGTGATAATCTCATTTTAAAAAATGTTTCCCAATTTAATAGTTGATTTGAATAAATATGTTTCAATTTGACTGATTGACGATTGATTCGAGTAAAATAGATCGAAGAATATTTTATTGAGGTTTGACATCGACGAATTTAATTGAACACCGTTCGGCAGACGATCGATATGTGAGAAAGGAATCAAAGCTGGTTCAATTGTACTTGAACTTAGCAAATTACGAGTAATTTTTGAAACTTTTTCATGTTTAGAAGAAAGGCTGAAAGTTCAATTATGAGATGAGCGATCTTTAATTTCCTTCACTCATACCAATCGTCAACTGAACGGTCTTTAATGGAATTCATTAAATTCATTGCCTTCGATTGAATTTGCTGAAATCAATTAAACGTTTTCCAATTGAATTGATTTATATTAATGGTCAATTAAACGGGTTAATTAATTAAAAAAGTAATTAATTACCCTGCGACTCTGACTGTTATTGACGAGCTAGTAAGATATTTTAATGACGAGCCTGTTACGGATAGTATGTCGGTCAAGTATCGCCATTTTATGATTGCCGATTCGACAATTCACTGCAGTGAGAAAGAATTACTCTCCTTTTTGGGCACAACAATGGGATTCGAGCGAAATGCAATGCATTTCGAAGTACGCGAGCTTCTATCCTGTTCCCATTTGTCGAGGGCGAGGATCCACGACGCGGCCGATGCACCGAAAGACATTTCGGTGCATTTGGAAATTGTGTTTTTTCAGATAAATTGAATCGCTCGTGAAATATGCGGGGAATGCAGAGAAGACACGCGAACCTTATTATCCGAGACAACGGACACATTAGTGAAGTTACGCTCGCGTGAAGTTCATGGGATCAGGTCGTCGGCCTATTCTTCGTCAGGAGCGTCCATCGACCAGCCGTGACCAAGATTGCTAACAAAAAGCGAAAACGGGAAAGTTCCCTTCTACAAAGTTCGGAAGAATCAAGACAGCTCAATCAAAAGATGTACAGAGAAGCGTGGGTGGAAAATCAAAGTCAGATTATTACCGTGAGATATAACATTTGGAAGAATTTACATAGGGCCGCCGTGTTCTCAATCAATATCGAGATAATCAAAAGTCTACGTTTGTAATTAGGAGGATACATCGCGAGAGCATACACAAAACACACACACACATATACAGAGAAGTGTATGTATACGTACGTTGCTCTTAATAAATCGGGGGAAGAATGAGGAAACACTGTTATCGGAAGAATGAGCCTTTTCGGACCTGAGCAGTCCCTTATAACGAACAAAGTGAGATTGACGACGAGGGAAGAAGATAACTCTCGTATGTAACGAGATCGTTCGACATCGGCGAGTGTTTACGAAAGAGCGTGGAGAAACAAGAAAGAGGAACACTTCACCGTCGTAATCTCGTTCCGTCGCGGAAGATATCAGCGGGCGAGTCGACTGGAACGCCACGCGCAGGGTCAGCGACTTCCATCGATTATTGTCCACGATTATTCGCCGCACTCGTATAACGCAGCGAACAAACGCGCACCGTCGTCGCGGTTGTCTATGTGAAAGCAGAAACCAACGGAAATATAATCCCTACAGAAAAAGGCTCGTCGGCAACGAATCACAGTACATCTTGACTGAGGCAACCATCGAAACGACAGAGGAAAAGAATCCGGAATTTGGCGGGGACGTCGCACGAGATCGACGGTTACATGCTTCGAGCTGACCCAACGCGAGCACGGAGGCGTAGAAACGCAACCCGCGGTGGCTGCGTTCCGGCTGGCGTCTGAGCTTTTTGGCAGCGTCTTCTATTAAATCGTCACAGTGTGCGGATTGGGGCGCATCCTCGGCTACATCGGCGGACGACCGTCGGTGGGGGCCACCAACATGTCACAGTCGGGATCGGGTGGGCTGAGCGACGCTCAAGGGCAGGCCGGGCAGACGACGGACAATCAGCAGATCACTTGCCAAAACGGTCGCGCCGAGCCGTTGGCTGATACCGCCAAGCAGGACCTCTCCAACGGCTTCGAGAATCGAACGATGGACTATGAGCGATTTACTCAGGAACGAACGCAGCACGCTCCGCTTACGGGACAAACTCAAGATCAGCAGTCCCAGCAGGTTCCACAGCAGCAGCAATCAGTAGCGCCACCGCCGCCGACGCAGCAACAACAATCTGTTCACCCGATAGCTCAATATCCGTCGGGGAGGAGGCAGTCCGTGGGATTGCCAGAGGACAAGCATCCTCCGATGGGTCAGCTGCCACCTCCGCCATATGGCCAAGATAAAAGCAACGTGGATAGGGTTCAGTACATGTCCCAGACGAGCACTCAGACGGTGCCGGTGCAGGCGCAACCGCAATTCGCTCCTGATTACGATCAGAGTCAGTATCCACAGATACGCGGGCAGTTCGACGTGAGGTCGCAGATCTACCCTCAAACGCAATACTCCGACAGAGCCGGCTATGTCACGAGAGATGTGACCTACCGCGACCCGAGCCTCTATAGCCAAAGTGGCGCGACTAATCCGATCTTTAGCGGCCAAGGTCAATACGTCACGGTTCAGCAGATACCGTCGCAATCCGCGAGCCCCCAGCCTCCCCCGTACTTCTCAAGCGTAGTCGTGCCGCAGCCACCGAGCTACGCTCAGTTCGGCACGCAGCCGCAATATCCCTACAGCCAGTACCCACAAACGGTAATGAATGCGGTGCCGTACAACCCGCACGCGGCTGGCATCTATTCTACACAGCAATACGGCCAACAGTCGCCAAATCCGCAGAGGTTCTCGCAGGAGATCGGCCAGTATCCGACGCAGCCGATCATCCAGCCGATCGCTCAGAACGTGGGGCACGGGATCGCGATTCAGACGACGGAGCGACCCTGCCGCGGACCGAAGCCGATGGTGCCTCCCCGCGGCAATTCCAAAATCACCCATGATCCGGGCCACAGAAAGTCCGCCAGCGTCGACGTGCCGGCGCTGCAGAAGGCCAAGTATGAGGCAACCGCGACTGCGCAGCAGGATCCGATTCACCGCAGCGACGGCGCTATTTTAATGACGGGCGCGTCTATTGGGCCGGATGGGCCGGACAGAAGATACATAACTACGATCAATCAGAATCCCAGGACCAGACAAGATGGACTGTACGTGGACACCAACGGCGACCAGTCGGGCAGGGAGAAACTGGTCGACACGATCGCCACCGAGTGCGGTCTGTATGTGTCGAGGTCGGAGCACAGAAAGTCTATATCGGTCGACGTGACCACCAGCTTCCAAAGGCGCAACGACACGATAACTTTCACGTTCCCGGGCGATGGTAATCAAGAGATCATATCGGGAAGGAAAACCACTACTGTGGTGGACGCTAAGAGAATCGAGACTAATCAAGTGTTCCCCGCCGAGCAGAGGAGACTGGATGCGGGCTTGCGGGTGTCGCCTATGGCCTTTGACACGAGACAGGAAAATAGGAAGAGTATAGGGGCGGACAGGAAGCCCGAATGGGGCAACGTGAGTCCGAATCAGAGGAACGCCATCCCGTCGGAGAACAGACGGTCGGATTATTTCGAGGAGCACCGGAGATCGCCCATGAATCTCGAAGGCAAGAGAATAGAGGACGTGAGGAGATCACCTATGCCCTTTGTGCCGATACGCGAAACCTCCGTCGACCGTGGAGGCCAGAAGAGTCCCTCCTTCGTCAGCCAAAACTTCGAGAAGACCAGACAGGAGCTGGCGATATGGGCGGAACAACGTCAACGACAGGAGCACGAGAGGAGCATGATGCAAGGTCAAATATTTACCACAAGCCCGCGTTCGCGTAATCCGTCGGAGGAGAGGAGAGACATCAGGTCGATTCACCCGCCAGATGATCGCAAAGACTCGAGAATGTCTCAATCGGCCTTTCAGCCGATTCCTAACATCAGCCAGAGCACCATAATGGAGCAACGTCGACACCTAAGACACGTTAGTGCCGATCTGACAAAGCACATGGAGCTCACGAGGAAGGACTTCGAGGAACAGCCTATCACGGGTTCCGTGGTGAACCTGGCACCAGCGGCTAGCGCCGTCTCGTCGCAGAGAGCGAGTCCGAATCTTTGTCACCAGTACCCGGCTCTTAGCGAAGCTAAACTAGACACGAAGACCGTGTTGACCGTGGTGACGGATTTCGGCGAGAACATGACGAACACCAGCAAGCCGACCGACCAAGTCGACCATATAATCCACAGCCATCGCAAGAGCCACAATATCTCGTCCAATCTGCTCACTCACAGCAAGAGTCAAACAGAGAACTTGCAGAATGCGCTGGATGGTCAAGGCGAGAAGACAGACTCGCTTCAGGCGCAACAACAACTACAAAACCAACAGAGCCTTGATTTAATATCCGAGAAGCTCAGCCAATTCGAGCGTCAACAGAGTGACCTGCAGGCCAAGTTACAGTGTCTCCAAAATCAGAATCAGATATTAGACAAGGTGGCGCAGTTTCAACATCAGCAGAGCGATCTGCAAGTGCGCCTGCAGACCTTGCAGAATCAGGGTCAACTGAACGACAAGAGCCACAAGATGCCCGCTGATTTCGCGCAGCTGCCGATCGCCAGCGACACTCATCAGATTCAGGCTAGCCCTCTTCCCAATCATCAGGAACAACCGTCGGATAAAAGCTGCCCGGCGCACAATCACCAGCCAATGCACGGCCTCCACCAGACGCTCCTGACTACTTCGTATCCGCAAAATACCGCCCTTCAGGCCTGTCAATCGTCCGCGTGCGAGAAACTGACGCCCCGCGTACAGCACGACGCTTCCGACCCGAATTCCATTCAGATACCGAACATGTCGCAGATGCCATTACCGTGCCTGCCGCAATTCGATCGCGCCGACGCGTCGCGCACTTCGTTCTCCCAGTTTCACCGGCTGCAGTGCCAGATCGAGGGTCACGAGGGTGCTTCAGCGACGAGTGCCGGCCTAGCCGCCAGCTCTTTCACGGGCACGCTGAAGAAGATACCGCCGGAGAAGCCACCGAGGACGTCTTTGATAGTGCAGTCGCCGGAAGCAGAGGTAACGTTCGGCAAAAGAACATTCTTACTCGTTAAAGCGCGGCCTCTCCTCCTCCCCTCCCTAGATCTGTGCCCTCCCTTTTATCGAGCGCGGCAACGCGCCGCTCTTCCGTATTCAAATGAACCGAAATACAAGCGCGCGCATCCACTCGATGCACCGGCATCGCGCGATCATAAGGCCGCTAATTGGAATCGCGCATCGAGGTTAATAAACGGTGCGCTTTAACGCGTCGCTTCTGCGGCGGAAAGCTCCTTTTACCCAGCATGTCGGGGAATACGAGCTGTGTGCTCCTGACCGAGGAGATTGCGGGGGTTGATGGCGGCGCGGCAGAACAGGGTGGAGACAGTGGGAAGAGAGCGAGATCCGGGCGATGCAGGCGGATAGAGATCTCTGTTTGCAGTTTTTGTCGCGGCCAAGTGGAATGAACTCGTTAGATATCAGACTCGATGTGTTGTCTTTGAAAACTTCGTTACGCGCCTTGTGTACCTTTCGCTCTACTTTCGAAGCTGGGTGTTCGCCGTTCTCGGCCTCTTCGGCCGTCGCGGCCATAAAACGCGAGACGCTACCAGCGTCTCGTCCGAGTACGCAACGTTATTCGCCCGGTTGCGAACGTGTTTCGAATGGCGAGGGCCAGATTTCTGTGCGCCGCGCCTTGTTCGCGGGATCGTACATACATGCTCTTTTTATAAGCCCTTGGTCCCGCCACCCGGCCGAGAAGGGACAGAGAAAAGGAGAGGAGACGGGCCACCAAGTCATAAAAGAATGAAAAAACAGGACTCGTAAAAATAGCGCACTCGCAAATCGAATGTGCACGCGCCGTAAAATATTCAGTAGCTTTGATCGCTCGGCGGTCTGCGAGCCTAAAAATTTTACTCGCGGCCAAATATTTATTTATAATCCATGGTTTTATCGATCGTGAGTGCGAAGAAGCGTTGTTCGTATGCTCGATTAGAAACAAACGTACCCAGCGACAAATTTACCTTTTCAGGCGGCAATCATAGAACGGCTATTATTTAATCGGATAAACGCGTGAATAAATCGACAATGGCGGAAATACCGCGCGAATGCACGGACATACCTCGTTTTTGTTAAGATGTGACTTTCAGGGAAAAAGACACGGTGATGGCAACTGTTGGAGGCGACAGCTGAGAGAGTTTTGTATGTAGAATTAATTATTTTTTTGCTTTCAGCCAAATCATTTTGTTCTAATTGTTCTAACAACACCAACAACACATTTTATTAAACTATTTATTGGGTTGATCCATAAGTTTTTGGATTTATAAACATATGGATTTTTAAACAAAATTGAAATGCATATTATTCTTGTTAAAAATAATTTCAATTAATAACATATGAGATATTAATAAGATATGGAGGTGGCAACTATAATTGGTGACAATTATACGAGTTTTGTATGTAGGATTAATTAATAATTTTCTATTTTTAACCAAGTCATTTAGTTGTAATAACTACAACACCAACAGTTTATTAAATTATGTATTGGACTGATCTATCAGTGTTCGTGCAAATTTTCAAACAAAATTGAAATGCATATTATTCTTGTTAAAAATAATTTTAATTAATAATATATGCGCTATTCTGTTCGACAATCTTTTGCCATTTTTCACGTAATTTCATAATTCTCCTCTAAAACTCTTGTATTCTTCCGACCAAAAAACATTCCAAGTGATTTTTCACATTGTCTAAAGAAGCGAAGTTTATACCGTCAAAGCAGTTCTATACAGATAACTATTCTATAATATATTCTATAATTCAGCGAAACGGATAATCGCAAGGAGCAATGTCGAGTGAATAGTGAGGTAAAACATCCCAGCCAAATTATAACAATTTTTACGGAAGTAGAAAAGCATAACGCACTGGAAAAACTCATTACTGCCTTTCATTTTCAAGCCGCAACACAAAGATAGCTGTATTTCTTTAAATGTTATTACCTCACAAAATATCTTCTGAAATGCTCAGCTAACAAAGCATGTTAAAAATAGCTAACTGTATAGAACTATCCTTCTAACATAAGGATGCCAACTAAAAAATCTGTAAGAAAATTTATGGACTAATACATTAATCCGGATACAAAATTCTATACGATGTCACCTGAAATTGCCACCGCATACAGAACAATATACACTGCTTTTGAGCAAATGTTGCTTGTGAGCAACGTTTCAAGTATTTCATAAGTTTATATATCCGCAAGTCTGTCATAAATTCATTACAAATTTTATCAAATTTACTCAAAATATATTCTAGGTCCTAGTTAAAATTTTAATTAAATATATTAAATTGAAAACAAAATTTTGATTTGCTTACTACATAGAATCAAACTAACTTTTTCTCCGAATTTTATATCTGAGTTATATGTCTGAGTTTTATAGTTTCAATTTTTATCAAAGAAAATAAATTCTTCCTCTAAATACTTGATAATAAGCTTTTCTCAAATTTGATAATAAGCTTTTCAAAACTAGTATATTTCAATATTATCAAGAAAAAAATATCCTTTATTGAAGATAACTATTAGAAGGAAAATGAACTGAGTGCGTATTTCTTAACAGCAGAATATTTTTTGTATGTACAGTGTTCGGTATTAATTGGTTCAAATTTTCTATGAAAATAATCTACGAGAATAATCGGCAAATCAATAATGAAAGTAAATAAAAGATTACAAATGCAATCACGAATAATTTAGTCGATTTTTGAAATTAACTATCGATCAGCGTATAATTAATTACATCAGAATTTGATTAACAGTTAATTTAATTTCCTCAATTGATTAAGTTATTCAATTGATTAAGTTATTTTCCACATGACGATTGATTAATTCTGATTGTTGATTTGTCGATTATTTCAGTCAAATAAGTAATTTTAATCGATTAATGCTCAACATTGCTTGCTACTGCCGGCCTTTTTCTCCGAGTGTGTTTGCTTTTTTCGTTTTGCCTCCCTCTCCCGTTCTCTCTCGCGAATAATAATCACTTGTACAGACCTCACAGTATGAAAATGACGCGAGAAATCCTGAAAAGCGCGCGCTTCCATTGGGGGTAGCGGAATTTCAAGTAGAAATGAAAAGAGTTCTTTTCTTGCTCTCATACAGTAATCCTTGATTTCTGCACCGTAGAATATTTCCCGATTCTGTATGTGCGATGTGTGTACAAACGCAAATAATATTTTCCCGCCGTGTTAGTCGTCGCGGTCACCTACGCTGACATTTTGCAAGCGAAATTGGGTTACGGCAGCGAATCGTTGCATATGAACAGCTTCGACGCTCGCCCTCGCCCATGAGAGTAAATATTATTCCGACTGTCGGAGTGTACGCGCGTCGGAGAATGAGAAAATAAGGAGCATCTCGCATTTCCGGCTGCGAGACGATTCATCTGGTAGTCCGAGACCGGCGAATGCAAAATAGCAGCGCGCAATTGTCACGCACGTTCTTCCTGTTCGTTCTTCTCCTCCTTCTCTCCTTCCAAGCAGTGTATCGACCGAGCAAGGTGCAAGAAATTCGTAGCCAATTGCAATGCCACGGTAAATCATGATTTGCAATGCGAGCGGACTAAGTGACATCGTTACGAGTTTCAATATGCCGCTTGCAGATATTCGCGTATTTTTTCTCAGATTGTAACAAAAGCATATCGAGATATTCCTTCTGTCGAGTGCTTCTCATACCTTCGTTTCTGTTCATTCCACCTCGCCAATCTTACCCACTTCGCATAGGATGTCAGCGCTTTTCTGGCCAGCGAATGAAAATCCTATGCATTTGGATATGTTCATCCATACGAGAGCTCGACTGTAGGCATGCAGGCATTGTTGCCGAAGAGCGCGCGCGTTCTTTTCAAAACTGCCCAGGTAAACAGATGTACACGTGAAATTTGGTAGCAATTTTGCCAGTTCATATGGCACGCATATTTGTTACACAGACTAACGAAATAGAAATACAAAAGAGATACGAGAAAAGTGATGAAAATTTGTTCAAAATAATATGTCGTGTGAAATGTAATAAAAGTGGGAGTTTTGAGTATATTTCTTGCGATATAACATAGAACTCACATCATTGTATGATGTAAATTTTATGACTGATTCAATAGAGTCTATTGTTTCATGAATGCAATTCAAATAACTGTGAAGTTTCCACTATCGATTGTCTCACGTCGTAACGATCGTGGAGGTCTATCTGCATCAGTTCTTCCAGAACTTTATTTACACAGATTCGTTTCATCCGCTAACGCATATAAATCTTTATCCCATGTCGCACGACCATGCTTGTATTTCACATATACTGCCACGAAATTGCGTGAAATTGTTTCAGAAACGTTCGGTTATCGGAACTCTGTGGGAATATTCAGTTATTTTTTCTGCGTATATATCGGAACGTTGTGAAATATTTTTCTTTTTTTTTTCGAAAAGCAATATAAGAGAACAATTGCCACTCTTGAAAATAAAATTATATTTCCGGGATATTCCATTTGTATGCTTAACCCAGTACTTTCTAAAGTACATTCTTCGCCGAATGCTAATAAAATGTTAGCTAATGGTTCGTTTATAAGCATAGCATTGCAATCAGTAAAATTTCGCTAAAAATATCAATTAATAGCGATTAATAGCTATTGCTACCATGATTGAAGCAGTTTGCGAACACAGACAATGCCATGCGAATTACATGGAGACCGTTAATTACATCATCACGAACGCAGAGCGTTGGATTTGGCATGGCATATAACGAATGTGTATAGGGGAGACCGGGCTTAGATGCTCCATATTTTAGAATTTCGAAGTTATAATTCCTCAGGCAACTAATTGTTGTAACTGAGTGTATAAACATAATAGAGGCAATCTTCTTCTATGTATTAATGCCCGTTACGAGCTGTTATACCGTATATTTTACTTTGCAATAACCAAAATACGAACATGCAGCAACATAGTCATCTTGCTCTGGTACTGAGTTCAGCGACTAACTTTACCTCGTCCGTTCACATGCTTTATTTCAATTATTT